TCTTTTTTGGTAAAGAAAAAAAAAGGAGTTACACAACCTCAAACTTCATCAATAGAAACAATAAGATTTAAATCTCTACAAGCATGAAGGTTAAGCAAATTGACAAAAAGTATCTAAGTGTCTTAAATTTACAATCTGAGCCAAGGTTTTTAAAACCGAACCAAATAACGAACTGGTCAGGGTCTGGTTCTTGGGTTGAACAGTTTAACTGTTCGAATCGAACGAACAGTCTGTTCTAACAAAAAATTAAAAAAATTAAAAAATTAAAAAATTAAAACCATCAAATGCATTGGACGGTTCGAATGGTTTGACTGCCTGGATCAGCAGGTTGATGACCAAATCAATGGTTTTTTGGTGAAATAACGGTTCTGGAGTAAAACGGAATCAGTTCCCGATTTTTCCAGTTTGACCATCCAATCCGGTCTGGTTTTGAAAGCCATGATCTGAACAGCCGCTTGGTTCAATTCGCCTCTCTGTAAATGTGCTTATAATTTATCTTCAATTAGTCTTCTTTTACAATCTTGTGGAAATCTTTGAATAATGTGCTTATATTCCAAAGGATTTCATACTTTCTACATAAGCCTTCAATTATCAAATTGGGATCTCTTTTGTAATGATGTTACCATCTCTCCACTCTTTGCCCATGACATGGACTTCTCTAGCTGTTAACGCTTTTGTTACATTGATAGATACTCTTTCAGTTAGTGTTTTCAACCCACCATTGACCTAGTTGGTTGAACTGTTTGAACCATCACTCAGTCATGATTTTGGGTTTGGTTCTAGTAAGTCCTGGAGTTTGTTCAAGAACCGTTGATCAGATCAAAAATCATTTGACCCGATTGGTTGGACTGTTGACTCATTTGACTTGGTGATCGGGTTATGGGTTGCACATTAAATATGTATGCAAACTTACAGAGGCCATAACTTTATGCTCTAATGTCCAATTAGGGTGATCTTTTGTTTGATTTTGGGTAACTTTTCAAGATCTATGTGTCTATGTAGAATATAATATGTTATATGTAGAATATAATTATACATTATTTATTGATAAAATGTGTGTTTATACACATTTACATACATATATACATACATACATACATAATTATAATTAAATATGTAAAATGCTTATGTGGCACAGTTTGACCCATTTGTCTTGGATGGTCAAACTGGCGACCTGCAACCTAGAGGCAAAAATAACTTGGCATCCAGGTTGATTTTTAAAACATTGTTTCCATTTACATGAGCAATTGCATGAACAAATCTTGCCCTCGGCATTCCTAGCAATACAACCAATCGTAGTATCTCCATTGTCCTTTTCCGAAGCATCAAAGTTTATTTTGATAGAATGGTGTTTTAGGGGGGGGGGGACCAAACAACCCAAATTTGATTCCTCTTAAGTTGCTTACTTGGATTGATTGAGTTGACTCCAAAAACTCCTTGAATTGGATCCAAGCTTTTTCAATGATATGAAGAGGGCCCATAAATTTGATTTGAAAAGTATTCTCATTCCTAATCTTCCAAATGGACACAGTATAAAGGCACACTTTTCCAAGTTTGGCTTGCAATGGGGTAAAGAACAAATATGTAAATCTACTTCACCACATTTCCAACAATTTTCATTAACATCAAATCCTTTATCAAGGAGACTTTTTCTTGTGGGAAATTTGTAATTTAAAAGGAATCAAAGGAGACTTTTTCTTAGGGATTCCAGAATTTTGTTTATGAGTGGTTGGTGAAAGACCCAACAGACCTTGGACTCTTCAGTCAGCCCTCGACTCAGAAGCGAAATTATGATATTGCCCTCAGCCCATCCTAGACAGCAACAATATAGAATACATCCTTAATGGTGTTGAATGATTATCTTAAATAGGGATGTCAATGATCGAGTTGGGTTGATATGGGAAATTTTCCATCACCAAACCTGACCTAAATCCACCTCATCCCAATTAATCCTATAATTGTATCAAATATGGAACCACCGCTCTTATCAGTCTAATATAATCCCATTTGATTCAATTTAAATATATGCTCGTATATTCGCAAAATTTATGTTATATCTACCAATAAAAGTTGATTAAAAATGTTGTGTTTTACTAAATTGACATAGGCTCACGTTTTATACAAGCAATGGCGGAGCCAAGAATTTTGTCTTGGGGTTGAGCTATTAGGGATGGCAATTTTTGTCATCCCACCAAGCATAATTCAGCCTCCCCGGGTTGAATATGAAGATTGTTCTAGAAGGATGGGGAGTGAAGTTCTTGCTTCAACTCACATAAATGTTAATTAAGTGCTAAATCAATTTAGATTAATAATTTTTTTTCTTTCTTTTAAGTAAATCTTTTTCCAATCACATATTTTTCAATTAAAGTAAAAGAAGTTAGGAATTTGGGTCCCCGATGGGGTATCCATCTCCATTGTGGATTGGGGATGGAGGTCCATTTTCGTCGCCCATAGGGATTGGGTAAGAGGATGGAGAGTTACGTACTTAGAAATCGGAAATGGGTATGCGGAGTATGGTCCTGCCACAAACCCGCCGTCATGTTGCCATTCCCATAAGTTATACATTTTTTTGGCTTATGGTAATGGATAAGTTAATTAAAGGAGTCACTGGTGAGTGGTGACCTATAGTGGTGTCAAATTCGAGGAAGATGTTGATGTTGTTTGGAGAAGAAAATGGGATAAAAAATATGAAGAAGTATACAGATTTCTGATTTTTACAGTAGAGTTATAAATATTTAAAAGGTCAAAAACTCATACTTTATGCATTTATACCTGCTCGTGAATTGGCATTAGTTCAGATCTGGCACCTACCCCAACTGTACTTTGAACCTATAAATTCTGACCTTGGACTGAATCATCATTCTCCCTAGAAAATATGCTGTTCTTAGGGGTTTGAAAATTGAAAAAGAAATGTTTCAGCAAGCTAGTGAAGGGCTTAAAAGTTGACACCCATCTTTTAGTTCACCCACGAACATAGGCTTCAATTGTGTGTGGGATAGGTAGTGGTTTGTTAAAAGGTTATTAATTTTGTCACCACTAACTAGTAGATCAAGATTATAATTTTTTAAGGTGGTGTTTGGCACGTCTTTTGGTTTGCGGGAAGCTTAAATGACAAGACCCCAAAAGCTCAGTGCATCTTATTGTCTACTAGATTGTTGAAAGATCTACACAGAAAAATTTACTAACCCTAAAAGTTTGGGGGGGTAGGGGGTAACTAGTCAAAAACCCCAAAAGCTTAGTGCATCTTAAGTGATGTGAATGCTAGCTTTCATTTCTCTATAGTTTACATCATCATGTTTTGCTAATATAGATGTTGTTCCTAATGCTATCATATCCATCTCTAGTTAAGTGGATATCTCCTCCACCCACATGGGTCAAATTAAATGTTGATGGTGCTATTGGTGCATCCTCTTTAGGTGCTGGTTTTATCATCTAAGGGTTCGTTTGTTTGGTTTGCAGGAATAGGGGTCTGGAATCGGAATTGGAATAGACTATTCCGATACTAACTGTTTGGTTGGGCAGAATCGGAATTCCATTCCTATTCCTGCTGGAATGACATTCCCCAATTTGAGGGAATGGCCATTCCTTGCCCTTCCCTTGGGAATGAAATCCCATTCTTGCTGATTTTAGTTCTCATTCCTATTCCCATCTGAACCAAACAAATTATGGGAATGGACCATTCCGATTCTGATTCTAACTATGAGCCAAACGGACCCTAAAATCATTCAGGTTATTTGATTTATGCTAGAGCCATTTTGCTACAAGCATGTTCATCATTGAAAGCTGAGGCTTAGAGGGCTTTCCTTCTCTTTGGATATGGATTTCTCCTCTATTATTAGTTTGGTTCATAGTCAAAATCGAAATTGGAATTTTCTATTCTTATAGTCTGTTTAGTTCAAATAGGAATGGGAATGAGAATTAGAATCAGCAAGAATGAGATTTTATTTACAAGGGAGAGGTAGAAAATGAATGAATGACATTCCAACAAGAATAATAGGATTCCAATTCCGCCCAACCAAATAATTGGAATTAGAATAACCCATTCCAATTCCATAAACCAAACGAGACCTTAAAAAACTAGAATGATTCAACACCTGAATCAAGGACGATTTTAAAACCATATTCAAATTCGAATATAAAAGAATCAAAATTGGATCTACTTATATCCGATTTGATCCACCCTTGTGCAACCCTAACCCTATTGACAACCATAGTCTATATACACTGTGTAGTTGAAAATTGAATTTGTAGGTATTGCTATTGCCAACTAGGCTTTCTACTATTTATGGAATAAATCCAAAATCCCCAACAGAAATAGTATTCTTCGCTATTTACAACCAAGCCCTCCAAAATCTTTTTCATATATAAAAATTTATATTTTTTCTATTTTTTCCACGGAGAGATTTAATGTGATCTGACGACATCAAATCTGAACCGTTAAAAAAAAACCGTAGTCGTTATATGGGCCCAGCGATTTAACATCATTCACAAACAAGCTGGTCCATCGAAACGCATCTCTTATGATGCGACTTGGGATTAAGCCATTAAGGTCACTATCATCGACCACCGTCCGATCGGACCTAGAAGCACCTAAGTCAAACATAATCCGATCGGAACAACGGTCGTGATCACCTGATCATTTTCATATTTGGCCTTTCAAAGAAAACGATGTGTTGGATTCTACTGGAATCTGATTTGTTTGACAATTTGACCATTCGGTCTGTTAGCTAGGTGCAAAGCATCCGACGGCAGAAATAATGGGGGTCTACCAAGTTTTCGTGAGTAAGATGGTCATTAGGTTTTCCCATTTTTGAATTAAAATATTATGACAAAATTCCGTTATTAACAAAAATGGAATATATGAAATAAAAATAGAAAAATAAATAAATAAATACGTTTTTGCCTTTTTGGCGCCCATACGAACCCTCGGTTTGTGTACACGTTGTCTTAACTGCTTTTGCGCTCGCTTTCTCTTTCATACTCTTTCTTTCTCTCTCTCTCTCTCTCTCTCGCCCGCGCTTCTTAAAGTAAACTGAGAGACCACATTTTTTCTCTATAAAAACTTACGTTCTTTCTCCCTAAAATCTCTCTCATCTTCTATTAACTTCTCTACCGCCGTACGGGAAAGGATTTATAGGAGTTCAAGCGATTACAGAGAGACTGTTCGGGGCTCTCTTTTGCATTCGTTTCAGTGCTTCCATGGTTTTCGTTTTTTGAATTTAATAGAAAGAGAGTGTTGGTCTGAGGTTGTTTCGTCTGATTGTTGACCGGAGACGTCGAATCGACTGGGAAACTTTCAGTTCTGGAGTGAAAAATTCTGTAGAGGACTGGAAGTTGGGGTCTGGGTTTGGTGGAATGGATCTCGAATCTGCTTCTCAGAGTCGGGAATCTATTTTGGTGGGTTTAATTTCTTCCCATGTTTGTCGAATTTCGATTTGAATATGGATTGCCATGTTGGCTGGTATTTTAGGGTTTTGGATTCCTTTGGACTTTCGATTTTTATGTTTGAAGTGTTATAGTTATTCGGCTTCGAAGTACAAAGGAATTAATCTGTATTTCCACTAAAATTTACACTAAAATTTACACTAAAATCCAGTTTTCTGCGTTTCCGCTTAGTTAGAATTTAGAGTAACGCCACTGTTACTGGAAGAACATTTCTTAATTTTAATTGGTTTTCATTAAATGCTTGCTTTTCTTTTCCTGTTATTGCCGCTCTGTTGGTCGCTAATGTAAAAAGAATTGATGCTCTGTTATTCTTTGGGTTCTATTTTTTTTTCTATAAGAAATTTAATTTATTGGTCCCTCTTGCATGTTTGGTTTTGGACTTAATCTTTTTATTTTATTGCTTCTGCTTGTTTGTTTGCAAATGGTTTTCATTGAATTTATTTTTCTTTTGAATTGTATGTTTTATGCATGATGTTTGGAGGAGGATTTAGCCAGTGGGTTGTTTTTACTGAGTTACTCGATTGGTTTTTATGCAATTTTAATCCTTTTGCAGTTTCTCTTTTCCGGGGCTACGTCTGTAGAATTCGTACTTTTGCTCTTTTTCATTGATTCTGGATTTGTTTCCTTACTTGGTTTCATTTTTCTTGTTCCCTTCATACCGTATTAAAATCTTCTAAACTCAGGACCATAAATTGATTTTTAAGGATTTTTCGCCATTCCTTTTTTATTCTTTTTAGCTATTCTTAATTTTGAATTCCTACTCGTTTTCGGAAAAATGACATTATCTAATTTCCAAATTGTTATTATAATTAATTGTATGTAGCACTTTCCCCGTCCTTTGTGGGGTTACTATATTCATTCCTGTCGTTTTGATTCGTAAAGGGTTAAATTGTGTCATGGTTTCCTTCTTTGCAGACAGCGTACAAGACAACACTTTTTCTGGCCTACCAGAGTTTTGGGGTCGTGTATGGCGACCTGAGCACATCCCCCATCTATGTCTACAAAAGCACTTTCTCAGGGAGGTTGCGCCTTCACGAGGATGATGACGAAATTTTTGGGGTACTTTCTTTAGTTTTCTGGACTTTGACTCTGATCCCTCTATGCAAGTACATTATATTTGTATTAGGAGCAGATGACAATGGTGAAGGTACTTCTAGAAACCCATATGGTTATTTCTTTTTTTGTTGTTTTACATGTTAGGAATTGTGGCTTGTTTCTTTTCAAACATAACAGAGTATTCATACTACAGGTGGAACGTTTGCATTATATTCACTACTGTGTCGGCATTCAAAGATGGGTCTTTTAAACACATTATATGCTGCAAATGATCATCCATCAGCTTATGATCTGGAATCTCCTCATAAGGAGACACGGACCAGTTCAGTTTTAAAGGAGTTCTTTGAGAAGCATCGCAGTTCTCGGATTGTCTTGCTGCTGGTTGTTCTTCTAGGAACTAGTATGGTCATCGGTGATGGTGTCCTGACCCCAACAATGTCTGGTATGATGTCTCTTGCCCTTTGAAATCATGAACAGGTTTCATGATACTTCCAAACTTTAAGTTGTTTCATTCACTAGCGAAGCATGGATTAGGATATTATAACCTAACGACTTTGTGCTGGTTCTTATTATCCACCTACAAGCCTTTTACTGTTTTACATGTTCTGGTCTGAATTAGAATTGTGAATACATACTCAGATTGTGTATAGTACATAGTTGTCGTTGGTGATGCCTAGGTCAGTACCTAGGAGTTAAGGTTTTTGCTTCATTATCATATTGTGCCTTGGTTTGGTTCTTCTATATGGTGGTGGAATAATTTAGGTGTGCTACTGCTAAGCTGCATGGCCTGTGCCTATTGAATAAAGAGTGTGTTTGTAAGGCATCATAAAAGAGCAAATTTCAACTTAAAGAGCCATAAAATTGGCTTTGACCTTGCTTTTCTTCATTTTCTTATATACTTTATGATTAGAATAACGGCTACTCTCTCTCTCTCTCTTGCAAGGTTCAAAGTATCAATACACCTCTGTGTATCGGCAGAGGTGTATTGGTACTTTAACTGATATGCATTTTATTTTTTTTATTTTTGTTTTCAAATTTTAGTTTTGAGTATACTATTTAATATAAAAAGGGTTTTGTAAAAACACCTGTAAATAGGTGTATCGGGGCCCAAAGATATGATACGATACATCCCATATTGGGCGTATTGTGTCAATACTTTGAACCATGGTTTTTAAAACCGACCTGGAGACCGAACCGGTCAGGGGTCTGGTTATCGGGTCGAACGGTCGGCCCGTTCTGACAAAAAAATAAAATAATTTTAAAAAATTGAAAAATGGTCAAAACTGTTTGAATGGTTCGAACGGTTAACCGGCCGGTTCAGCGGTTTGCTGACCAAAATCAACGGTTTTGGGGAAAAATGGAACCGGTCAGGTGACCGGTTCCCGGTTTTTCCGGTCTGGTTTTGCAAACCATGCTTTGAACCTTTCTCTCTTGTTGAATACATAAGGTGTTTATAAGGCTTCATAAAAGACCAAATTTCACCTTAAAGAGTTACAAAATTGGTTATGCTCCTCCTTTTGTTCCCTTTGTTCCTTCTCTTAAATCCTCTGTGATTGCAATAAAAGACCAAATTTCACCTTAAAGAGTCACCAAATTTTCTTTGTTGATAAGGTCGTTGGTTCTCAATGGCCAATATTCTATCCAGATTCCAGAACAGTAATCCACATGAAGAAAGAGACTTTCAATGGTGCATGCACCCTTCACATCCTTCTCTAGGGAGGCAGAGTAGCTGATTCCTAAACACTGCATAAAAAGACCTGATGAAGAAGTTACCACTTGCCACTTCTGTCAGCCCTTCAAAGTTCAGCATCAAGGCTAATTCTCTTTTATGTTTTTAGTTGCTTTGTATCTTTCTATGACCAGAAAGGGATCTGCTCTTTCATTGCCCCCCTTTCTTCTGCAATTAAGTCACATGCATATCTTCTTCTCTATATCCTTGTTGTATTCAAAATATCAAGGGCTCCATTCCTTCATATATCTGCTTCCTTTCTATTTGTTTAGTTAACACACATATTTTCTCTCTATATTTCTATCCCACATTAGCAGAACAGAGATCCATTCCCTAGTTTTTTTAGGCTACATAAACATAAGGGTAAATTGCTAAAATCGCCCCTGAAGTTTCTGGCTGTTGCTGAAACTTTCCCTGAAGTTTGATAATTGCAATCACCTCCCCTGAATTTTGTGACATAGTTGCAAGTAGATCCCCTTTGTTAAAACCCTCTAAAAAGAGGCATGGCAATGGTTATTTTTCAAATTTTCTCATCATATGAATTGTTAGCCCAAACCCTTCCAATCTCTTTTCTAAAATTGATTTATTTTCCAAATTTTCCCTTCATAACAATCGCTCAAAGGTAAAGCTGCAACTTTAAAATCTCTTTTTCTTCGTATTGTTATTGTTTTCTTGTAGAAATCAGACTCAATAGTAATTGCATGGGTATTTTGGACATTTTCGTACCTATTGTTAGCTGATTCTAACAAAGGGGGTCTGCTTGCAACTATGTCAGAAAGTTCGGGGGAGGTGATTGCAATTACCAAACCTTAGAGGAGGTTTCAGCAATTTACCCTAAAAATGCTGTCTCAATTCATGTTTAGTTATTTGCTATGCTTTCTAGTTTCTACACTAACTAGGGAAACAATCTGAAATTTCCATTTTTATATAAAAAGGCCTAGGCAATGCTTGGGCAGGCACTTAGTTGCCTAGTTGGCAGGGTGTATGGCTGTCAATGAATTGGATTGGATTGAATTATAGTCATTTTGATTAATGCCCACCTTGTATTGGATTGGATTTGAACATTTTGGATTGGATTGCTTTTGGATTCGGATTGGATTTGTCCTGTGCATAGAAGACCATGTCCAAAAAAAGAAAGTAGACTAAGAAAGATGGTTTGGTCATGTGCATAGAAGAACATCAACAACACCAGTTAGAAGAAGTGATTTGTTACAAGTTGAAGGGGCTAGAAGGGCTAGGGTAGACCAAAAAGGACATGGGCAGAAGTTGTAGGGAGTGAATTAAGCACTCACAATTTCACAGTGGATATGGCATTAAATAGAACGGATTGGCGAAGCAGGATTCATGTAGCCGGCCCCATATAGTTGGTATAAGGCATGGATGATGATGATGATGATTATGATTGGATTGTACTGAACCTGTTCCACTGACAACCCTAACAGGGTGCTTGTGTGTTGCCCAGCCTCAACTTGGTACCTTGACAATTACGATCTAGTACATTATTTCAGCAAGTTGGCTATTTCAGTTTTTCTAAAGGTGTTTGAGCCAGAAGCCTTGACAGAAGACAAATTCTGAGGGGCACAGGTGTGGAGACAATTTGATCATCTGGTAGTGTGCCATTGGGGGTTATAACTCACCTGACGAGCACAACAATTTTCCCTTGTGTTTTTCACCCCATAGGTATATCTTGTAGTCTTAACGCAAAACATAAATGTGTTCTTAACCTAAGAAAACTTGAGATGGTCAAGTGGGAATACAAAAAGTTGCTCTATTTTTCATATTTTCTTTTAGAGAAGTTCTGTTCATGATTCTTATGCCTTTGAGAATCTTGAGGTTCACTCCTCATGAATTATGATTCAGGTTAAATGCCTAGATTCATGCCTCAAAATTACAAAAGTTTTATCCTTGTTCATTGTGGTAATTGTTGTATTATTGATGCCTCAAAATTACAACAGTTTTGTCCATGTTCAGTATGGTGATGGTTGCATTATTGATACAGATATCCAAAGAGTATAAATCCAGATTGTTAACGGGTTGGAAACTATTATTTTCAAATTTCCCCTCAAAAGGGTATTGAGAAGTCAGCGAGATTTATTTTAGGTCTCTGTGGTTATTGAATCTGCCTAAGCCCTCAAGTTAGAAGAAAATCGACAATGGTTTGGGATTAGGTGTCTTCTGTTACAAATAGCAAGCTATAAAATAAGCAGAAAGCTATGGGTGATTGGTGCTAGGTCTTTTTTTGGAAGGACCATCCATAAACTGCCAACTTTCCAGACAAAGGAAACTATAATCCATTTACTTCTCAAGAAACATCACTTGGGAGATCGCAACAGTCTCCAAATACTTGAAGGATTTGATGACTTGTTCTGGGATAGAAACACAAGTCTAAGTGAAGACATATGGTGACTGGTGGTATATATGGTAATGAGAGCCATTGAGGTGGTTATAGGGTAAGTTTCAATCTTTTAGAAATTCACTAGTGTCAGTAAAATTCAAAAATCTGTATAGTAACTTTAAACCTACTATTTATGACAATTTGTGTAATTAGTTTTTCTTATTAATAGTAATTTTGATCTTTCACCAATCATAGTAAATTCTCTACAAGATTGGAACGTAAACCTGCAGTCACCTCCATGGTTTTTATTCAATTGAATCTCCTTACTTTGAGATTAAAATACCATGGATAGGGTTAGATTTCAATCTTGTAGAAATTCACTAATCTTAGTAAAAAACAAAATTATTATTTAAATCCAAATAATTACCATCTTATGTAAAATTGCAATTTATTATTTTACTGGAGAAGTTATTTTTTTCCCTTTTAATAACCAAATCAATGTTTAAACACGATGGCATGACATGAGGCATTCCAGCATAGTTCGAAATGTAAGAGGCATARCCCTCCTTAAGAGGAAGGGGATGAAGATGAAGAAGGATCTCACCTTATTTTTGTATTTTTTTATGAAAGATGTCTTATTATTAAGAAGAATGAAGATTCTTAACCTAGCACAAAATAGTAAATTGTCCCTTTCTTTTCTTCCTTTTGCTTTGCTTTGCTTTGCTTTCCTTTTCTTTCTTTTCTCTTTCTTTTCTATTTTTTCTCTTTCTTTCTTTCTTTCTGTCTTTTTGCATGAGGCATACACCTCAGAGGCATCAATACCTCTGGCATATCCCTCTGGGAGTTTTGGAGGTGCCTTGCCTGGAGATGGCTCCCATGCCTTTTAAAACACTGCACCAAACTATCACAACAGCCTGAAATTCCATGTACCATGAAGATCTGTTAGTTCCTAAAACTTCATATGAACTGACCTGTGCCATCTCTAACTGAAAACACTTCTGCAAGTTGATCCCACCATTAGATTTGTAATTTTCTTGATTTTCACAATAAGAAAACTACATAACAAAAAGCCCTAAATTCAAGTTTTAGCAGAACCTAGGGTTAATTCTTCATGTAGCCATCCATGCACCTGCTGATGCCTTCTGTATGGTCTGCATGACTTGTGCAGGGCCTCATATGTGCAGCAGTGAGCAAAAACCAGTTCGATAGCTCTGGTGCTAACGTGTTATACTGGATTAACCAGAAATAAGGAAATAGAGAAGAATGAAAAGAAAAAGAAAAGAAACAAGAGAGAAAGAAAGAAAAGTTGAAACCCAGAAACATGAGTGATCTATCTGTCCTCTCTAATAACAGTTATGTTATAAAATGAAATGAGAAAAAACTCCTCTCTGGACATAATGCATTGGTGCTGCAATATTTATATATTTTCGGAAAAAAGTATTGCTAAGGCTGCTTCATAAATTTGTTAATGGTTCTTCTTGGTCATACAGCTGAATACCATAAATTTCTCTGTTGTTGATTCTACTTATTTATTTTCACACTTTTGATCACTATTTCAAAGATCCGCATAGTGCATTTCAATAGCTACTATGCTAATAAATTGTGCTTGCTTCTCTTTGCAGTCCTTTCTGCAGTCTATGGCATCAAAGTTAAGGTTCCACATTTACATGAGAGTAAGTGAAAAAATATTTTTCTATTTTAATACAGAAAAATAAAATGGCCATAGGATATGCAATCTTTTATATCTCTGTGTTGGGCATGATTTGACAGAAAACCCATGTCTGGCACAAATTAGGGAACATAAGGGTATATGCATCTGTTCTTTTCTTTATGCAAATATAAGTGTGCTATATGTTTTAGTTATGCTGATCCCACTATACTTAATGTACTTTGAAATGCAGATTATACTGTACTCATTTCCTGTATTATATTGGTGGGACTCTTCGCTCTTCAGCATTATGGGACTCGCAAGGTTGGAGTTACCTTCGCTCCAATATTGATAGCTTGGCTCCTATGCATTAGTGGGGTGGGCATTTACAATATAATCAAATGGAATCCTCGAGTTATCAGTGCTCTGTCACCATATCATGCATTCAACTTTTTTAGCAAGGCTGGAAAAGATGGATGGAGTTCACTTGGAGGCATTGTTCTATGCATTACAGGTAGGTTGATATCCATTATGAAACTAGTGTTACTGAAGTTGCTTCTTTTACATTACTTCTGATAAAAGTTTTTTTGCTTCCTTAGGGGCGGAGGCTATGTTTGCTGATCTTGGCCATTTCTCCCATCTTTCTATAAGGGTAATACTAATCACCTATTTTTTTTGGATGAATGTTTTGCAAAGTTCGGAACATAAATGTTCCATCTTATATGAAGAATTTTCCTTATCCTTGGGTTGGCAGCCAGAATTCATGTCATTTCCTAATAATTTATGTAGACCTTATCACCATGTGCTGTTTATTGCAGATTGCATTTACATTGGTTGWTTATCCTTGCTTAATTTTGGCATACATGGGGGAAGCTGCTTATCTCTCCAAGCACAAAGATGACCTTCAAAGGAGCTTCTACAAGGCCATCCCAGGTAATCTTTAATATCTACTCTTCAATAAAAAAGGTAATCTTTAATATCTAAGTATTCATCATGTACAAGGAACAAGTTTCATTTATAACTTGGGCATTTATTTTGATCATGTTATTCCCCTCTAAATTTTCCATTTCTTAAAGGTGAGAAACTGAAAGTCCTCAGACTATAAATATATTACTTTACACCCAATAAATAGTTCATTGATATTTTGCAATTTTATGTATATTGCTTAAACTTTCAACTAGTTATATTTAGATGTTCTAAATTTCAAAAGAATAAAAGAAAAAGAAAATTTGTCCATTTTGCAATAACCAGTAGGAAATGATTATAGGTTTGAAAAGCACCTATATTATTTCAGCTTTTCTTCCTATCTTTTTTTTTTATTTTTTTGTAAAATGATTTGTTGTTTTTTGAGCTTGAATTGACAACTCCACCTCGGCATTTTAGAATTTGAAATTTTGAATAGATACATAATTAATAATATTAAAATATTATGAATTAACAAACATACATACTGTATTTGATTTCTGTTTGAAATAATATTAATGATGTTATATATTAGGTTGAAATCATATGCTATTATATTAATTCAAAATTGGTCTATTTATAAAAACAGTAAAAAGAAAAATAAGAAATAAATTTCAATAGTTAGTTTACATTGCATAGATATGTGATTTAGGAGTCCAATTTAGCCTCATTTGATGGTTGTGTTAGGGGCTGTTTAACCAATAATAATGTTCCATGTCAGCCATCAAGTACATATGCCCCTCACTCAAATATCAATTTGCATGCATGACTGATGTGGAACATTATTATTGGTTAAACGGCTCCTAACAGAGCTATCATATGCGACTCATCCAGATTCATGATTAAGTGAATGGTGATTGTTTTGGTATAGTTTGGTTGAATAGGGTTGAAGCGTTGTTGATGTTTTTATTGATATCTTATCACCTGAGAGTGTATCTTGTTCTTGTTTTTTGCTTTAATAATATTTCTCTTTTACTAAGTGTATGCAATATTATAAAACTATTATATATGCACATATAATATTGAAGCAAGCAAAAATGGTGAATGAAAAAGATGATTAAGTTCTATTTATGGTATTATAGCTGCATCTTAAAACATGTTTAGTGAATGTTTTATCAATGGGTGTACAAGCTTATCCCTAAACGAGTTGTATACACCATTCAACTTTTCATATCTGTCTCACTGAATTGATGAGTGGGGATACATTGCCATTGGTTTGTCACATTTGTACTCATATATTGTAGGATTATCTCTAGAGTTTCATTTGTAATATTCCATATTTCCCTTTGAAATTCCTGATAATATATATTTTTTATCAATAACTCTAAAAAGATTTCATTAATTAGAAAACATTAGGATACAACAAGAAGTTGTGAAAGAAATCAGCTTTAATAAGCTGACCCGGGACAGAATTACAAATGTGCCCAAAACATGTGTTCTTTGAACCCCTTGCTTTGCTAAACCATCTGCCAAACTGTTCACAGATCTCCTAACCCATCCCACCTGGATTGACATGTTCCTTGACATCCATTTAAGTCTTCGGGTATCATTCTTCAACTGCCATGTCACCCCTTCCCCTTTCTGCAACCATTTTATCACTGTTTTTTGAGTCTCCCTTGATGATCAGTCTATTAATACCCAACTCTTTAGCCTTCTCAACCCCATATGCTGCAGCTAGAAACTCTGCCCTTGCCACATCACCCTGCTCCACCGGACCGGAATATAGAGCAATAATGTTTCCATTTTCATCTCTAATGGCCCCCCCAATGCCTGAAGGGCCTGGATTACCCACACAACTCCCATCAAAGTTCAGCTTCTTCCAACCATCTGTTGGAGGAGACCATGCCTCAAAAAACTGTTGTCTCGTAGATGAAGAGGCAGCAATAAGTCCCCAAACCCTAAAAAAGTCTTCGACCTTAAAAGCTGGAAACAACTTCAAGCTTTTTACCCAATGTGCCACCCTCAATGTTATTGTTTCGACTAAAGCTTCCTTACATTTTTCTTTTCCTTCAAATATTCTATCATTTTTTTCCTCCCAAACAGTCCAAAGTATTGCTGCTCTAGTACACCTCCATAGAATCCTACCCCTCCTTTTCATGCCACTAATACCATTAGGGCTGAATAAACCTTCCAACCTGTCAGGAGAAGACCACCTGCACCCAAAAAGGGAAGTAAACCAATTCCAAATAAAACTGACAAAAGGGAAAGGTATTAGAAGGTGGAAAGCAGTCTCACCACTCAACTTACACAGGACACACCAGTTAGGGGACAAGCACCGATTTGGTCTTTTCCTTCGAAGTACATCAAAGGTATTAATACAACCATGAAATACTTCCCAACAAAAAGCACTGATTTTAGGGGGAGTAGGAGGGCACCAAATTTCTTTGACTGGGAAACCATGAAATTCTTGATAATATTTCCTTGATCTCTTCCATTTTCCCACATTTTCCAAATACCAGTGTCAGGCATTGTGAAAACTTCTATATTTTCACTGGAAAAATATCTAGTGAGATCAAAATCTTGAAAGGTATCCTAGTGGGAAGATTCATATATGCTATTTTTATTTTTATTTTTTCTGGGTGAACATATAAATGCCACTTCTACAAGCTTAAAAATTTTCACAAATTTTTGTTATGCTATGATAAATTAAATGACTTTTGTTTACTTGATCAAATCTTGTCGAGTTGTTAGTTATAACAAAAGTGCTGCTAATTCACTTTTGTTGCTTAGATGGGATGCATTGAAGTATCTATTCGTTAAGTATAACAAATGAAAATCTCTTGTAATTTACCTCCACAAAATTTCTGAATCATGTTGTAATCTTTCTTGTTAAATATTTCAAGCTAGACTTCTAGATATGCTTACTTCTTATGGAGATTTGTATCGAAATTTAGAACATTGAAAACCTTGTTTGTTTGCATGGCAATCACTATTTTAACATACAGTTAATCCTATCATATTGGGAATCTTTCCCAAGTTCAGTTATTCTCAGTTTTTACTTGATAGTTGTTTCTGATTAAGTATTTCTGAATGAATCACAAATTTTGCTTTTCATGTTTTTGTATTATCTATTATCTTTTCTTTCTTGTTTTCCTTGGACAATTTCTCAAACTCTTCTTTTCCTTTTTTCTCAATGCAGAGGGCATATTTTGGCCTGTATTTATAATAGCCACTCTTGCTACTGTTGTGGGAAGTCAGGCTATAATTTCAGCTACTTTCTCAATTATCAGTCAGTGTAGGGCACTGAAGTGCTTCCCCCGTGTGAAGATAATACACACATCAAGCAAGATCCATGGTCAGATTTACATACCAGAGGTGAACTGGATTTTGATGGTCTTGTGCCTTGCTGTTGTTATTGGCTTTAGAGACACAGACATGATTGGCAATGCATATGGTATGCTCTGGTTTTTGTCTCTACTGTCTATAGACATGCACATAAGTTTTAATGAATATAATAACATAATTTGTTGAAGGAATGAAGAATTGCTTTGGTTTTTTATTTCTAAAAGTTAGATTTACTTTTAGTTATTGTTAAAGCATCATCATCATCCAAGTCTTATCTGAACTATATGGAGTCGGCTAAATTAATCCATTTTGTTTAATATCATATATTCATATCCATTGTTAAACTATTGGTGCTTATGTAAATTCTTACTATTTTTATGGTCTACCCCAAGCCCTTCTAGTCCCTTCAACTTGCAACAGATAACTTCCTTATGGGTGCTGTTGATGGTATTTTAGTCTTGCCAGCATCTCAGGTCACTACAATTAAAACCTTTTCTTACCAGCATCTCTTTGGTGAGGCATTTCTCTAATGCTGCCCCCCATACAAAAAATTTTACTTCGGAGGGAGCCACAGTCCCTCAAATGGCCCGGCTTGGGAAGGGAGTTTCAGCATCTCCCCTTATGGCATTGAAGAAAGATTTAACTGAGAACTCCCCACTTTTGTTCCCTTTCCATACTAGACCATCTTCAGATCGCAAATTCAAAACCTGGGACTGAAGCAAAACCAAGAGGTTCCCCACCTATTCAATTTCCGAATCACTGAAGTCCCTTCTGAAGGTAGGGGCCCAGCAAAAAACATTATCCCTTAACAAAAATGCATCTGCAACCACTGCTTCTTTGTCTTCATCCACATTGAACAGGGTAGGAAATAATTCCTCAAGGGAATTTTCCCCTGTCCAGGCATCCAACCAGAACTTGATCCTTCTCCCATTACCAACTTTAAATCTGACTTCTCTGAACAGGTTGGAAACTTTGCTTATATTTCCAAAGACTGCAGCCATAGGTTGGCATGGGTGGACTACTACCCCAACCCCTTTCATCCAGCCCATATTTTTCTGCTATGACTGTCCTCCAAAGGTTGTCAGGTTCAGTAGCAAACCTCCAAAGCCAACTTCCTAGCAGAGCTAGATTAAAAGATTTTAACCTCCTTAACATCAACCCCCCTTGAGATAATGGTTTACAAATCTGCCCCCATTTAACAAGATGAWATTTATGAGAGTCCTTCCATCCCACCCACAAAAAGTCTCTCATCTTTTTTTCTAAAACCTCTGTCACTTCCGAAGGAATGGAAAAAGGGTCATTTAGTATGTTGGTAAGCTTGCTAGGGCACTCTTGATGAGTGCTACTTTCCCTCCTTTGGGGAGATACCTTGCTTTCCGAAGACTGCAGCCATAGGTTGGCATGGGTGGACCACTACCCCAACCCCTTTCATCCAGCCCATATTTTTCTGCTATGACTGTCCTCCAAAGGTTGTCAGGCTCAGTAGCAAACCTCCAAAGCCAACCTCCTAGCAGAGCTAGATTAAAAGATTTTAACCTCCTTAACATCAACCCCCCTTGAGATAATGGTTTACAAATCTGCCCCCATTTAACAAGATGATATTTATGAGAGTCCTTCCATCCCACCCACAAAAAGTCTCTCATCTTTTTTTCTAAAACCTCTGTCACTTCCGAAGGGATGGAAAATGGGTCATTTAGTATGTTGGTAAGCTTGCTAGGGCACTCTTGATGAGTGCTACTTTCCCTCCTTTGGGGAGATACCTTGCTTTCCAAGTGGCCAACTTCTGATCCATTCTTTCTATTATTGGGTTCCAAATGATTTTTGAATTGCATTTGGCTCCCAGGGGTAACCCTAAATACTTTGATGGTAGCTTACCAATCTTGCAGCCTAACAAGTCTGCCATACCTTGAATATTAGCAACATCCCCCACAGCTATTAACTCACTTTTAGCAAGGTTCACCTTCAGACCTGAAATAAGCTCAAACGATTACAGAATGTACTTCAAATTTAGAACTTGCTCTTCTGAAGCCTTACAAAAGAAGAGAGTGTCATCAGCATATTGTAGGATTGGGATTGCAGTCCCATTGGGCTTCACCTGAAAGCTTTACAGCAGCTCCCCCTCCACAGCTCTATCAACCAATTTACTCAAATCTTCCATTACTATTAAAAAGAGCAGAGGAGACAATGGGTCTCCTTGCCTCAAACCTCTAGCACTACTAAAATTTCCTTTAGCTGTCCCATTTACTAGCACTGAGAATCTAGGAGTTGAGTGGCAAACCTTCATCCAATTTCTCCACTTGGAGCCAAACTGCATTCTTCTCATCAAATAATCCAAGAAGGACCAATTAACATGATCATAGGCCTTCTCTAGGTCAATTTTGCAGATTAGACCACTCTCCCCACTTCTTAGTCTGGAGTCTAGTAGCTCATTTGCTATGAGCACTACATCCTGAATGTGCTTGTTGTGGACAAAACAGCCCTATGATATTTAGAAATTAAAAAGTCCATCACCTTCCTTAATCTGGTGGCCAGAATTTTTGATAGGATCTTGTAGACACTTCCAACCAAGCTGATTGGTCTGAAATCTTTCAGCTCATTTGCTCCTTTCTTCCTAGGGATCAAGGATACAAAAGTTGCATTTAAGCTTCTATTGAGGACAGTAGAATCGTGAAATTCCTCCAAAACCCTTAGCAAATCAGCTTTCAAGAATTCCAATAACTTCTTAAAAAACAACATTGTGAAACCATCTGGCCCCGACGCCTTCTGCCCTTCCAACTCTTCAATAACTTTCTTTACCTCTTCTTCTAAGAAGGGTTTTTCCAGATTTGAAACCTGCTCCTCAAACAAGCAATTAAAGATCAAACCATCCAGCCTTGGCCTTATCTTGCAAGGTTCCTTGAACAAACATTTGTAGAAACAAACAAAAGCATCTGCTATATCTTTCTCTTCTTGAACTACCCCTTCTTCCATCTCCAATTTTTGAATAGAATTAACCCTATTTCTAGCATTGGCCACCTTGTGGAAAAAAGCAGTACTATTGTCACCTGCTTTCAGCCACATAGTTTGAGTTCTTTGCCTCCATTTGGTGCAGCAAAGTATCTATAGTCTTCTTGGCAGTAAGCCTTCTTCTCCTCTTCTCCTCTTCTAAAGGTCCCCTCTCCTCCGCATCAATGTTTGCTATTAATTTCAAACATTCTTCTTTTTTTTCACTCTCCTTCTTTGAAGTCACCTTCTGCCATTCTTTAATTTTTTCTTTCAACCATTTCAGCTTTTTGAAGAAGATGTGACTGGCTGAACCTTCAAAGTAACATTCCAACCACCACCTTTTGATGTTTGTCACTAAATCCTCCGAGTCCCGCCAGCAATTCTCCAGCCTGAAAGGATGAGGGTTCTTTTTTAATCCTCCTGTACTCAGATTAAGGGAATGTGATCAGAAACTACCCTCGTTGGTGCTTCTTGATTTGTGAGAGGGAATAATTCCTCCAATTCAGGTGAAATTAAAAATCTGTCCAGCCTAACTAACGAAGGGTTTTCCTGATTGTTGGTCCAAGTAAACTTTGCTCCTGTTAATGGCAGATTTATTAGTTCCCACCTTTGGATAACACCTCTAAAATTTCTCATTCCTCTACTCAGACGATTGCATCCCTTTTTGTCTTCAGGGGGGAGAATTTCATAAAAATCACCCCCTAACACCCATGGACCTTCCCATCTTCCTCTGACAGTGTTTAACTCATCCCTGAGAGCATTCTTTAAGTTGTAGTCAACCGACCCATACACCCCTGTCATTGTAAATTGAATATTCTTAGCCTCCCAAAGCAACTTGGTAGAGATTGAGAAGTTCCCCACAAATTTGTCTACTAGTTTGAAAATGCTATTGTTCCGTATCAGAGCTACACCCCCCGCAGTGTTCACAGCAGGGATTTCAAGCCAATCACATGGATCGAAACCCCACACACTTCTCACTACTCTGAAAGATAATTTTTGAAGTTTTGTCTCCTGTATCAGCAGCAAAACCACTTTCTTGTTTTTCAGAAAGCCCCCAATTACCATTCCTCTTCTCCCCGAGCTGAGGCCCCGGACATTCCAAGATATTAATTTTAAGCAATCCATTTAAAAAGATTTGGAAGAGTTAAAACTTTTCCTTGCACTTCCCAGACTGTCATTTAGACCCCAAGCTAGTTTAAGCAGTTCCTTAGATCGCTTTCTGTTTTTCTTCCCCTTCTCAACTAAGAACTGGTTTTCAATGGCGACGAAGAGGGTTTTCAATGGGGAGTTTTCAATCCCCCCAAAACTCCCAAAAACTGAGAAATTTATACATAACCCAATTAGAAATTTTGCTATCATCTGCATACCTTAAGATGGGAAGGCCTTTAACTCTACACTGGTTTCTGCCTCCTCCACTGACACCGCCATCTCCAAATGCCTAACTGAATCTGTGGACGAGAGAGATGATGTGGGTTTCTCCTGATTAATCTCCTTCTCAGAAACCTGGTTCGAAGTTTGCACTTTGATTGCATCAAGCGCCACTTTGGCTTCTATCTAACTCCCTATGCTTCGGCTTGGTGGAAGTGAGGTCTTTCTGTTCCCATTTCTATCCTTTTGCAGAGAGGTGATGGTTGAGCCTCCTTCTCTGAGAGCATCTCCGAGCACCTTTCACATGTCCCTTGCCTATCTTCCCCCCAAGGATCTGGAAAATTGGAGCTTTCCCCTTCCATTGAGTCTTCAATATCAGTCGAGGATTCGGAAGAAACCTCAGCCAGAGCCTTGCCTTTTCCTCTGCCTTCTACCCAGCCCAACTTCGGCCCAAAACCACCTCTCCTATCTGGGCTTTTAAAACGTATAGGGCCTGGTTTCTTTTGAGCTAAGAAGTGGGTCCCTCTTCTATTACCACACTCCTTTGAACCCACTAGAGACCCATCTCGGTTCAATTTCAACTTTAAAGCCATTGCCTCAGCTAGTTTATTTAGGACCGCCACATCAATCTGTTTGGATATCGAACCATTTGAAATTTGTATTAAAGTTGCTCTCTGCCCCCCTTTGACATAACCCCTTTCTGGCCATTGGATTTTCCAGTCAATTGACGGTTCGGAGGTCGTCTTCTACCTTTCC